TTTTGGCCTCCCAGAGAAGCTTGGCAGATAAGTTCCTTCGTCCCACAATGTCGACGCGGGTGATCCTCAGGGATCGGTCTTGACTCACTGTTCCTCTTCAGGGTGTCCCGAAAAAGTGTGCTATATTCTACCAGCGGCTTCTAGAGCTTAAAATAGGAAGAAAAGTTTATATAAACATAGGTCGGCAAACGTCCCCTAAGGGCTCCCCTGAAGATGGTTTTTCCTAAATATTTCCGAAACGTGTTGAGATAAAGACATAAAATTTGGTATTCTAGCCTATTTTTTTATGCTCGATTTAAAAATATTAACAATTTTAGACAGTTTTGTTTGGAAGCGTATGTAACAGGGACGGACTCAGGTTATTTTAGCCCCAAAATTTTTGTGTGATTCTATTTTTGAAATTCAATTTTAGAATTTGAAAACTTAGGGTTTTCTACATAAAAAGATACTCTTATTGAATATCGATAAATTGTGCCATTTTTGAATAAAATCAAACTAAAGAATATTTGTCACATGATAGGAAATGTGCTGCGAATTTAAATGAATTGTTGAATGATTAGCCATGGCAAAGAAAAAACTAATTTAATAATTGGTAAATATTACATAAATACATATTTCTATTGCAACATAGCTAATATTTAGGCAAAAGCAAAAGAAATAAATTTTTTCTACGAACGAAATTGAAATTTGTTTAAAAAAGAAGACATGCAGTTGGATATACTTAAAACTAGCTTTACAATAAGTGTTCAAATAAATTCCCATTTTGTTGCTCGACGAACTAATGATTGCGTAGCCTGAAAAGTGGAAAACCTTTTTCTTGTTATTTCATTTGCAGCCTGATGGATTTTTTAAGCAAATCTTCTTGAGTATTTACTTCAGTCGAGTAAACTGGGTCTTTTAATGACCCCCGTAAATAGAAATCCAATGGATTTAGGTCAGGTGAACGTGGCTACCACGCTATAGGACCTTCCCGGCCTAACCACCTGTCTGGAAAATTGACATTCAACCAATTTCGAACATTGCGTCCAAAATGTGCAGGGGCGCCATCATGTTGAAAAAACATATTTTCTTGAAACTGCTGGCGCACATCCAATGGTATTATATCCATGAGCTCATTCTGAAGAAAGTTCAGATACACCTCTGAATTAAGACGATTGGGAAGTACAATAGGCCCAATTACTTGATCCCCAATTACTCCTGCCCATAAGTTCAATGAAAATCTATGTTGGAAATTTGTACGGCGAACAACTTTTGGATTTTCATCTGACCAGTGATGCATGTTATGGAAATTAAAAGCACCATTCCTAGTAAATATTGACTCATCCGACCATAATATTCTAGGAATAGTGTTTTAATTTGCTAATATCCACTGGCAAAACTCGATTCGTGGTAAAAAATCTGCCTCCGTTAAATGCTGCACCCGTTTAAAATGATAAGGATGTAATCCTTGCATTCTTGTTATTCTTCCTATCTAAAATTATTATTTTCAGGATAACTATCAAATAGGTATTCATAAATTTTTCTTACTATTGATCGAGGTATATCTATAATTTCTGAAACATTTCGTATGCTTATTTGCGGATTATTTTCAAACATATTTAAAGCAATATACATACGATGATTTCCCAGTGGTCTTCCTGAGCCCTGCATGCCCTGCAAACTTCCATGGTTTGACAAATTCGGGTGAATATCAGTAAACATTCGACGTCCAGGTACTATGCGATTGGGAAATCTTCTTTGATATTCTCTTACGGCTGCCAAAGAATTGCCATTGCAAAACCTTTTTTATGTAGAAAACCCTAGATTTTCAAATTCTTAAATTGAATTTCAAAAATAGAATCACAAAAATGTTGGTGCTAAAATAACCTGAGTCCGTCCCTGTTACATATGCTTCCAAACAAAACTGTCTAAAATTGTTAATATTTTTAAATCGAGCATAAAAAACTAGGCTAGAATGCCAAATTTTATGTCTTTATCTCAACGCGTTTCGTAAATATTAAGGAAGAACCATCTTTAGGGGAGCCCCTTTAAAAGACCGTAGCGCCCTTAGGGGACGTTTGTCGACCTATGTTTATATAAACTTTTCTTCCTATTTTAAGCTCTAGAAACCGCTGGTAGAATATTGCACACTTTTTTCGGGACACCAAGCTCCTTACCCTTACGATCGTTCCGATACACAGGCTTGCTGATGATCCAGTTTTGATGGATGGCCGGGTTTTACCAAAGAGCCGTTCATGTCTTAGTCTCAGGACGGAATGAAAACGTTGCAATTTTTAGAGCATCCACATGATGCTGAGATATCTGATTATTTCACTCAGTTTTGTACGATATCGTCATGGAAAAGGTACTCTGGTCAATTTTGGCATGGTGTCTCGTTAAAAAAAAGTGTGAACGTCTCAAAAGTACCCGGCGTTCAAAGTGTTGTTGCATGAATTTCTGTGAATTTTTCCACTAAACTCTCATAAGCCTCCCCCTTCTTAGCCCTAACACAATACTCCGTGGATTTGACACGCCAAATGCATGGGAAACTTTCGTATAATGCAATAATATCTGTGAGAAGCTCCCGAGAACATTGCCGAAGGTCAGCCATTGTCGCCTGACGAATTGAAATTGAACAAAATGAATCGGAAAACGGTGCTACCGACGACTTGTCCGCACAGATTCAAAGCTGCGCAGTTTTCCAATCTACACGCAAAGGTTGTGCAAAACGTAGCGTCTGGACCGGCCTTTAGGCAGATCGAAAAGTTGCTTTAAGCTCCTCATACAACCGCGGTGCTCTGATTTCGAACGTCGCCATCAAAATATGCTAAGATGCTCCGAACCGTATTTGCAACAGAAAACAATACTTTTGACGCATTCCGATGATGTCAAAGAAAAACTAGATCCCAAATTTACGCTCCAGATTTACTTAACAAACGTGTTTTGATAGTTTCGTCTCGTTACATAAACATTTCAAAGTCGATAAGTCGATATTACAGCAGACGCTCGATAATGTAAACTAATTTAGTCCGAGTGTGGTTACATTAGCGAACGTGATTTATATAATATTTGATTTATTAAAAGAAACGTTTAATAGAAGAACTAAAATATCCGTGTATGAAACTTCTTTTCTTTCAGCCCAATCTAAAGCTTGGTTAAAAACTTGTATAGCTTGCGCGTCAGTCAATACACTTCTGACTTCAATGGGATCGTTCTCATCATCCTCACTGTCCATATCCTCCTCCTTATCAGCATCATTCGTCTGCTTAAATTCGTTCCATAAATTAATATCAGCAGGAGTACAAACAATGTTGGGATTCACTGTTTTCAATAAATCAACAATATCCTATGACACACTAATAACATTATCATTATTGGATCGCAAACGTTCTCTAATTACGCTTAAGGGGACATCGTCTTCTTCATCATCTTCAATATTGGTACAAAAGAAGTTGTTCCAACATTTTTGAATAGTTTGCTGGTTAAGTTCATTCCAGGCCATATGTAAATCTAAAACAGCTTCTCGTAATGTTACTTTTTTTAAATCCTCAGATAAGTTTTCAGGATTCTTTGATAAGACACACGAAAGTAGAAACTTCCTATAGTATAATTTGCTGAGTCTTATTATATTCTGGTCCATCGGTTGAATTAACGGTGTTACGTTGGGCGGCATGTACATGACCAAAATTGACCCATCCCTGCTCCTCAGTTGTTGCTCGCGAGGATGACTTGGTGCATTATCCAATAGTAACAACGCTTTTATTGGAAGCTTCTGTTGTTTTAGGATACCTTTTACCTACAAATTGTAAACACGTCTTCAAATTATGAATAGAGCATTTGTGATAATTGATTGTCATACCTGAGGGACAAAGCACCTGTGGAACCATTTCAGGAATATACTGCTAGTCATCCAAGCGGTTTTTGAACAGTCATAATCAACAGGGATATTACATTTTTAAATGAGCGCGGATTTTTTGCTTTCCCAATTACCAGTGGCTTTATTTTGTGTGAACCATTAGCATTAGTGCAGGCTAGAAACGTTATTCGTTGTTTCTCCGGCTTTCTTCCCGGGGCAGATTTTTCAAATGATGCAGCATAGGTTTTCTCTGGTAACATTTTCCAATAAAGGCCACTTTCATTTGCGTTGTAAATTTGTTCCATTCTTAAATCTAGCTCGGTAATTGTTTTCACCAATTTTTCTTTGAATGGTTGCACTAATTGTTGTTGTGCTGATAATTTTTCACCAGATATAGATAGCAGTCGAATTCCATATCTTGTTTTGAACCGTTGTAGCCAGCCATCACTAGCTACGACATTTTCAGTTTCTTTCAGTTTTTCATTTAACAGTCTCGCTCTCTGTTTAAGTACTTCGCCACTAACTGGGACATGATTTTCCCGTTTTTTTAAAAACCACTTATACAGGGAATTTTCCATTTAGGTGCCTTCGCATTTTTTTAAGTTTTTCTTTTTCCCGGACCTCCAAATTACGTTACGTTCTTTGTAAAATTTGAGTTTTCATACGCTTAGTTTTACAGTTTGTTGCTTTCGATACTCCATATTTTTTTGCTAACTGTGTCACTCCCGCACCTAGTGCAACTTCGTCTATGATTTTCACTATCTCACTCAACTTTAAACACTTTCTTTTATAGGATGTGGATGCTATAGTCGTAAAATATATTAACGCGTTCAATGTATTCACTTGAGTTCAAAAATGAAATACATACGTACGTATAAACGATCATACGACTGACCGAGTTTGTCGTATTATATCGCAGAGGTGAATCCCCTACACTCTACATCATAAATCGGGGACTCCCCGACGCCCGACATAAATCATCGAGGCTTCAGCATTTTACCGTCGCGCTGTTTCCGTGCGCCGAGAGTTGTTTTCGTTATCGAGCGTACACATTGTTTACGTTATCGCGCGTTCCGTTTGATCCCATAGAACGAAGTTTGTGTTTACATTAGCTGCTGTATTAGTTTTTCTTATTTTCTTTTAATTCATATTTCTTCCTTTCCAGAGAAACTCCTAACGTCCGAAGGCCGGGAGCTCCGACGCGCCCTGTTCTCCCTAAAGCAAATCTTCCAAGAGGACAAAGACCTGGTGCATGAATTCGTTCAGAACGACGGGCTATCATGTCTGATCAAAGTGGGCTCGGAGGCGGACCAGAACTACCAAAACTACATCCTGAGGGCTTTGGGTCAAGTGATGCTCTATGTGGATGGCATGAACGGGGTTATGGAACACAACCAGACTATTCAATGGTTGTATAGCTTGATTTCATCTAAGTTCAGGCTGGTCGTGAAGACTGCGCTCAAGTTATTGCTGGTAAGTCATACCTTTAGACCAGTAGGTACTAGTTTTTGAATGAAACCATCAATTTTTGGAAAAATAGCTTTGTCAAAGTCATTGTACTGGAGGTCACCGTTGTTAAAATAGGGACATTTTTTTCAAAACATGTGGTTTCTATTGGCCAGAGGAATATGAAGACTGTATATCTTTGCTGCCAACTCCACCATGGAGCCAACGCCCGCGTGCCGTAGATTCAAAGGAAGTAGGAAGTAACATTCAGGCATAGGATAATTTTTTATTTGTATTTTGAAACAGGTCTATGGTGCGCCCGAAACATCAGTAAATTAATGATTGTTCGTACAGTGGTTGGTGACTGTGTCTGGGGATAGGACAATGAACGCAATTCTTGGGGCCGGATTTTGGACACGGTCACTGACGGATAATTTTATTGAATTAAATCAAGAACACACTTGCCGGCTGAAGGATTATGTTTTCTAATATACTATACAACACAATTTTTTAATCTGTATTATGTACGGTAAAAATTATGTATTCAGGGTGATACACAAATCGTGACCAAAAATGAAGCATCATACACAGGACCGCATTTTAGGCCCGTATCGTCAGTCGTCCCCACAATTGTAGGGCGCCTTTATGGCCTCCTTGCTTGTCGTAGTTTTCTATTTTTCCATGTCAGTGCTCTATTTTGAGGTTATGTCACAAACATCTTTTTGCGTCAAATTGTGCTTGCTTTTGAGTTATATCATGTTTTATCAGCCTGAAATTTCCTACAATTTAAAAGGAAAACATATCTTCACAATAGGAGAGAGCTGACGCTGACACGGGGCAAGTGTATTCTAGAACTTTTTGAAGGAGAGAAAGGAGTATGACAATCAAGGAGGCCATAAACGCGCCCTACAATTGTAGGGACGACTGACGATACGGGCCTTAAGGGGGGTCCTCTATGTAACATTTTTTCCTCGATGACTTCTTAAAAAGATGAAGTTTAAAAATAAAAATCTATTTTTTTCAATATCTTCAAAATCGTCATCTGGAATGACAATGACATTGAAAAGTAGTTACTTAAAATTCACATGCACCAGTGGCGGAGATACAGTGGATTAGTGGCATTATTCTCCCAAATAAAAATAGTACGCCACTGTTTTTTTCGAAACGAGCAATTTTACCTCCAATTTGCTATAAATAATTACTCATTCCGTCCCTGGGGGCTTGCATAAGCTACTGTTTCCCACGTAAGGCTTCGCCTGGTTACTGATTTTGCGTGAAATTTTCGAAACGCCCAGCATGAGCTTTTTTTTTGCTAGAAATGTAAGACTCTTCGAAGATCGCACCTGCATTTGAACATCCCCATTTTTTGTTTCAGGTATTTGTGGAATATACAGACTCGAATTGTCTCCTGTTGATCAAGGCGATCCACACAGTGGACTACTCCCAAGGGGTATTTCCTTACCATAATATCATGAGACTGTTGAAAGATTTCGACTCTGCCGATACGGAGTTGCTTATCTACGCCATGACGCTCGTAAATAAGATTTTGGGCGGCATTCCGGATCAGGATCTGTACTATGACCAAACGGACGCTTTGGAAGAACAGGGGATGGAGGCGATAATACAAAGGTGAGTAATGTTTAGACAACGACACAATTCTTTGCGCTCGCCAATTGACGAATAAGTCGATACATCCGGAAACTCGCTCAGCTACGCGATGCCAGAATAAGTTCGCTCATCCTTGTCCAAAATCGCTCAGCTCATATTCGGACAAGCCGTAGCTGAGAGATTCAATCGCTGTTGGTGGAGGTGTCAAAGTATATTGCAATCCCGGCAAAATTTAAAATCATAATGTCGTGTTTGTTAAATATTCTAACGATTGGCCTGTCTGTTTTTTTTTTTTGTTTTCAAAACATCTGCGAAAATTTCGCCTAGATCTGAATTGTGGAGATGTGACACCATCTCCCCCAAGCCCATAAAGAAAGAGGCATGCATATATCTAAAAAAATAAAAAAAATCCGTCTGCGGTAATTAAAAAGAATGAAGAATGAATTGTGCCAAATTCGAGACACCTCAAATGTCAAAATCCATTAGCCAGTTAAATAGAAATATCAATGTTGAAGTTTGCCTTTAAAATCCGCCATTTGCATTTGCAGACAAACATAGAGAAAAAAAACACATCAATATGATTTTTTTTTCTTAAATTCATTTGCCTCCCCCTGAGATGGAAATCTTGCTGAACATGAATTTTGGAACCACCAATGAGCCCTCCTTTGAATATTTGCAATTCGGACGGCCATCGTAGGAACGAATTTAAAATTGAAACCCGAAAAATTTCACTCAGGTTCCCAAACTTCATTTTCTATGTATCTAGAGTTTCTGTGAATTGGGCGTTGTTGAACATTTTTGGTAGAGGTGAAGTTAAAAAATATAAACCTTGGTTTTCAACATTTTTAGCTTTTTGAAGACTTTATAACGTAGTAACAAATGTACTTCCCACGCCAATTGATAAGAAAGTATCATAATCGCAACAAATGTTTTGTTGTTACCTGTCGAAAACGTTGTCATTCATTTTCATTGGTCTGATTGTCTATCCGGTAATACTCTACCCTTCTAAAAGCCGGGAATACTGCTTGGATATTGATGAAATTTTCATACAGATTTACTAATTTGTCAAGAACGAAAAGTAGTTTTTGATAGTTGATCCATTGGCTAGCAGAATTTTACAAATCCCATTTTTTTGGTGGTTTTCAAAATTCTAATCCCTTTATGGAGCTGTCAGTATAAGTTGTAGAGAATCAAAATATTTGAAATCATGTCGGTCTGTCCGTTTCTCTGTCTTCTGTCCTGTAAATTTTATCCTCTCTGTAACTCGAATCTACTTTTTTTGATGAATTTTGCTTGTAAGACAAAGATTGAAAAGCTTTTTTTAAAAATTGGTCCATTGGAAGCGGTGGTTATGATTTGAAAAAGGCGGGGCACATCGGCTCGAAGGATCGGGGGTTCAAATCCCGGCCTCGGAAGTTACCTTTGTGATCTCGGAAACGGTAATAGATACCAAGTCGCTTAAAGAGGGAAAAGTTGCGTATTTAAGTAGCTAACAAAATGCCGCTTAGAAAGTTTCGAAATTCAAAGTACTTCCGAAGAGAGGCGGAAAAAACGAATTTTCCCAAAAATTGTTCTTGACTTTATTTGTAGTGGGATTTCATAGAAAATTGCAAGTTAATGTTTCTCCCCTACAAGATGGCATGATTGGACTTTCAATATGTCATTTCGTCTCTTGTCCCCCAGCATCAACTTTGTTGTTTCTTAAGGACGTCATATTTGGATTGCAGTATAGCGTCAATAAGAAAAAACAAAGTTGGTGATGTAAGTCGAAAGAAAAAACCCCGAATTGAAAATTTTACTACGTCATCTTGTAGAGAAGAAGAAGTGGCAATAACAACATGCAATTTATTTTGAAATCTTGCCTCAAATAGAGCCATAAAAAATAAAAATAATTTGTTGATAAATCTGTCATATACAACAAATGAGTAACTGATAATTTTAAGGTCTACGAAGGAAATTCTGTTTTCTTAATAACTAGGATTTCTCAATGTCAATGACATATTAAAAATTCTTGGAATCAGAATTGAAAACTCTAATGACATGTGCAAATATCCAGTATGGCGCCCTTGAGAAAAAATAATATTCGTATTGAAATTCTAATTATGTCTTCTTGTACAGTAGAAAGAGTGGCACTGTTAATATATCTCACCGTTTCCGAGATTCCGATGGTGAGTTTCGATTTTGAAACACCCGGTATATCTGTATCGCTGGCGCTAGTTTACTCAAAAATAAATTACCAGTAGTTAAGCATTTGGAATTTTACAGAGCTGGTTCAACGGGTTCAGCAAAAAGTGTCAAATACACCCTAGTTATCAGGCTTCACCTTCTCACCACCACAACTACCTACGACTAAAAAAAAAACACGCCAACTTACTTAACTTGTGACGTTCCATTGGCTGTAATCGTTTCCATAAAACTTTTTGGAAGCGTTGAAAATTGGGAATCGAAAATTGTAGGGGGTGAAAGTTTATTTGTTTGCCATTAAAAGATTATTCAACTAAACCTTGTTACTTCTTCCTCAGGTACATGTCCAAGCCGGGCACCGACCTGGACCTCCTCCAGCAATTCCAAATCTACGAGACCGTCCTGCAGTACGAAGACGGTGAAGACATCAGCAATACCCCCTCCAAACACCTGGACGAAAGCATTAGAAGAACGTTGAGGAACCGGAAATCAGTTGTGGATAGTGCGGAAAGGCGGAAGAGCAGGAGGCATTCCACAGGGAACACGCCCATGTATCCAGGACGCAAGAACAACAATCTGATCCTGCAGCCTAGTAAGGAGGACGAAGGAGATGAGTCTTCGAGTTCACAGTCGTCTGCCATTAATAATTCTCAGTTGAACGGGAGCTATAAGGATAATAATAAATGTGAGTGAAAACAGAACAATTTCGTGTGATGTTTCTTTTAATTTGGCTTCTACTTGATGATGTCATGCTATTAGGTCCAGAGAGTATTTTTTCTGATTTGAAGTTCACTACTTATCATAACACGGTTGCCAGGACTTTTTGCCAAAGTGGCGATTTCATGGCTTCAAATGGATGCCTTGGCGATTGGCTACTTTAGCGTCGACCCAGCAAATTGGCGATATCTGGCAATTTTTAACATTTATGACATTTGTAATTAATTCTTGCTGATTTGTGTTTGGATTAATGAAACATGAAAGTATTACCAGCGGAAGTTCTGTGCTCAGGTGCCCCCTGGACAATTTCATTGCAATCTTTAGCCTTGCATTTTATAGTTAGACTCCTACTTAATTTTCACTTTTAAGGCCTAGCAAATCTGTGCGATTTTCTCATAAAAAACCAACGTGACTGAAAACCTTGTTATCCCGTATAAACTGTGTTCAATTGGTAGTAGTTATGAGACCCTCAGGGTAAGGCTCTTTGTATTTTGGTTTCGGATGCAATGGTTATTTGGGCACCACCTAGTTTCCAAAAACCAGGAAACGAAATAACAACAAGTATCACTGTTGGGATTCTGGCGTTAAAAGAGATACCAACTCACAAGGTACACAGACATTTATTGAACAAAAAAAAAATAAAAAAAATCAGTCCTGGAGGACAGGCTAACCAGAATGAATTTATGCATTACCCCCTAGCTAAATAATTATCAAAAAAAACTAAAATTAGAAAAAACTTGCGAACTTCAAACGGCTACCGTTGGTAGGAAGTCCCAAATATTACCTAAAACCGGAGGGTAAAACGAGAGGGTAGAACCCTAAGTAGAAAAAAAATACTTGTTAAAAAATTCTAAACTAGGAATTGACTACTAATCCCCCCTTTTACTTTGTTTCCAAGAATTAAGGATTTAACTTTAACATGGAACCATTTAGTCTTCATTCAAAAATTTAAAATTGAAACAAAGTGGTTGTTCAATCTCGGTGTACAAGAAAAATCGTTATTGCACTAGCAACACCCAAATTTTAAATTAATATGTACTAAATTAAAATAATCAGATACCTGTTAAAAAACATAAGGTTCCGGAAGTAAACTATTTTATGTCGTCTCTCAGCTTATAAGTAACGCAATTAGAATGTTATTTGAGAAATACAGAAATATTCTACCTCGTGAGCATGTCTCAATTTCACTAAATATACAACCAATATCAGAAGTTACCGCTATATAAAAGTATATTATTCTCAGTGTATGTACTATGATACAAAAAAAAAATATAAATGCTACCAAAGAGAAATTCAAAACATTTCTCTCTTTCTACTATTAAATAGGTTAATGAATTAATAATTTTTGACGAATTCCATATTGACCTGAGCAATGGATGATTAACTGGTTAAAGTATAACCCTAATGTTATATAAGAACGCCTAAACTGGCACAAATAAAATTACAGATACACTCAGACCACGAAGTGGTTGTGTTTTCAGTTTGTACGAGATTAAGACAGGCCTAGCAAAGTAAAGAAAAAAATCATAATTACCTGTAACAATGATCGTCCTCCAAAAATGGGGGAACTGCTCCTCCCAGGCTAACCCTGTAGGCGGCCCCCCTCTATAGAATTAGAAATCATATTGAGGAAATGAACATGTGGCTTACCCGCTCGATGGTCGAGTGTAATTATCTGCACGGTTAAATCCCCAAAAGGGTAAGAAAAAGGCTCCGACACTAAGAACCACCAAGGGTTCGATTTCTAACAAAACTACCCCATCACCCTTTAAACTGCAACTCTGCCTGTGAAACTATTTCACAAAATCAGGTAGTGGGCCGCAGAATTCCTACACCAGAGCACCGGGAATAGCACCAAGTCACCTTCAGCTCTCGTATTCAGAAATTATATAAAATTACCTCCACAAAATTACCAGACTGAGAGAAGTGTTTTGTTATAAAAACGTTTTTAAGAACAACTATAACATTATTATCCTAAATTTGAAAAACGTTGTATTAATTTACTTTAAAAAAAACTTTAACAACCTGGCAACCTTGAATCATACTTAAATATGTCTTGGCAAAATTTTCCCACACCTACAATAATTTGCAAACCACCATAGGACTGTGATGTTCTGTGCGTTAACACCTCTTTCTGTAAGATATGATCACGTTTAATTTATATCTGAAATAAAAAATATATTAGTTGATTTTTTCGATGGGAAATGTATTCTTTTTCAATGTACAAATTTTAAATACATTTTTTCGAACATGCGGAGTCAACAAACTGCATCATCCTTGAAAAATGTATGCAGATAATCTATCGCAGCCATTAAAGATCCAAAAGTTTGACTTTGTAAAAAATATAATACCTTGTAACATAGAAACATGCAAATAATTATAATGAACTTTGACATAGTGTATAATTTTGAACTAATAAAGTTTGCAAAAGATGGTTTTCGCTTCCTAATAATTTTATGCTTTGCTTAGCTATTGAAGCAGGAATAACGCCAGCTTTGAAACGTCGAAGAGAACGAGCTGAGCGGCAACGCAGCTTCATGAAAGAGCAGGAAGCTTCAGCTTTATTCAGAGGTTGTCTTCTTCACGAAGAAAATAATGAAAATGAGAACGGTAGGTGCTTATAATATTGCCTTGCTAAAATGGCGGTTTTGTTTTGATTCTTCACTATATAACAATTTAATGGCGCTAGGATCACTATTACAAAAATATTGGCTCAACTAAAATACTTATACAAGTAAGTATTTTTCGAAAGGTCAATTTTGAGTAGTACGAGTATTTTCCTTTTAGTAAGTTGAACCTGCTTTTTTAGTCGATATTCGTTTGAGTTTTGTTCTAGTCACTGTTTTGTGACAGACCTGAAAATATCGACACTACATTCCGAAATTGTTTAAAGAGTAGATTCATCTCGAAGTTATACTGGTCTTTGAATAAGACACGGATATAAAAGGAATACAATTACTGAGGTTTCGACCACCTCGGTGCCCTTTTTCAAAGTATATTGGACTTAAAAGTCATTGCCAGTTTCTGTGATTTTATTAACCACAGTATAAGTTTTAGTAGCGGCATTTACTGAGGGGTAGATAGATGTCTAACCAACTCTTGATTTCAGGTAACTATCCAAATACCTTTCAACAGAGGATTCCAAATGGTAACGGTTTCAATAGACCTCCGAGGAAGGATATGACTCCTTTGATGAACGCAGTCAACAAATTGGATACAGAAGAAAAACAACCGTGGATCTACAATGACGCCGAAACAGCGAACGAAAATGAGATAAATGTTCTCTTGCAATTGAAGAGGGAGAATACGGTGAAGGATATCACTCAAAAGCTAGCGAATCAGAATATTATGCACAGTCCTTCGGAAGAAAATAAGGTAAGATCAACTATATAATTCTTCTACAACAACCGTGACGCTTATGGGTAAAATTGACGGCGATTGTTCATAAGATTCTGGGTGGCATTTTGTCACGTAACATTTTTTTTACTATTTTGATCACTTACTAGAAATTTGCATTTCTCTTTATTAATGATAGAGTGGCCATTCGTAGGCCAAACCCTTTTTAATGATTGTCTTTTGGTAAATTTCATAATTTATTGATTGTATAATTTCACGCATATTATATCTTTCTTTCTCAGTGATTCAGTATTGTGTTGAAATCTTTTGGACACTAATGTTATAGTATTACTAACGACTATCTCAGAAATTTCCTCACTAAATATCGTTGGTCCCTCGTAGTTGGTTTTCTAGCGTCCGCGCATTGGCAGTCAGCAGAAAAACTCTGTGGTTTTTCTCTGTTATTTGGTTTCCTAAAGAACATAATTATCTTCTTCAAAGCCACTCATTGAACCTTCTTTTATAAAGTTAGGTGTATCGTGTCAGTCACTGTCCTCCTGAGATTGTGGTGTGGGCGCCATTTGTTTAACCTCCAGATTGTGGGATATTAGGTGCTGAACACCAGTTTGCGGAGTAGTACCCCTTCTAGTTGTTTGGGTTTGGGTGCTACCCCGTCCATTTTCTTATGGGATTTTAATCTTCAGCGTGGGAAGGCATTGCGAAGAATCACCACACACTCCTTCAGCTTTGTTTTGTAGTTGCCTTGTAGTTGTCTTGCAGCTGATATGGCCGGAAACCACCACTTTCCCGCGACAAAAAAACTCTAGAGAAAGAAAGACTGCTTTAAAATCTACTCTCTACTCTCTCTCTGAGACAAAACTACTCATTGATAACACTCAAACTTGAAGAAAAAACATGTACAGTTTTTTAAAAGAAAAGTAAAGCAAAGGCAAAAAAAATATAAAAATGTACTAAAGTGATATATCCTCAGAAATGTATCCCTTGTTCTAAATAAAAATAAAGTTATGGCTGCTCAGAAATCAAAATCATGATCAACATAATGTAATGCCCAATAGAAGGTGCCATGCAGTATACTCTAAGAATTTCAGTCAGCAATAATCAATATAAAAATACACATAATATCTATAAAATAGTTAATTAAAATGATATTTTACCTGTTCACATCAGGTAGTTACAAAACAAAGCTAGATGAGTGAGTGGTGGTTCTTCGCAATGCCTTCCCACGCTGAAAATCCCATAAAAAATGGACGGGGTAGCACACAAATCAAAACAACTAAACGTAAGGTACAATATAAAGGGGTACTACTCCACAAACTGGTGTTCGGCACCTAATATCTCAAAATCTGGAGGTTAGACAAATGGCGCCCATACCACAATCTCAGGAAGAAAGTGTCTGACACGAAACACCTAACTTTATCAAGGAAGGTCCAGTGGGTGGCCTTGAAGAAGATGTTTTCGATAGGAAACCAAATAACGGAGAAAAAACACAGAGTTTTTCTGCTGATTGCCAATGCGCGGACCCTATAAATCTAACTATGAGGGACCAACGATATTTTACGAGGAAATTTCTGAGATAGTCGTTGGTAATACTATAACATTAGTATCGAAAAGATTCCAACACAATACTTAATTCAAATTACTAATAAGTGCTCAAAATAGTAAAAAAAAGGTTACGTGATTTTGGCACGTGACAACCCGCCTTGTCCTTGGAGTAGGAAAGTATCTACGGAGTAGATAACCGACGATAATAAATAATGCTGAGCTACCAATAACCTATTGAGACAAGAATCAAACTGACTATACTTAATCGAAGTGAATATCCAAACACACACAAAAATCCCTACCCAAAAAAATACTCTAAACCGACGAAACAACACTAAAGGTCAATATCGGTCGAAATTAGGTAATAACAAGATCGAGATCGGGACATGTCATAATTTACCTCAAAGATGTCTTGCTGCAGAAGTAAGATATGTCCTGTTCCATACAAGAGCTTCTGGATTTCAAATATCCTATACTTTGGTCGCCCCACCAATATATCTTTTTTGTTTTCTAGGTGAACAGGATTGGGGATATGTCCGGCCTAATTTCAAAGGCAAAGGAGGGTTTAGCAAAATCAAAGTCAAAGGCTGACGTACTGAAGAGTCCTACCAGCGAAAACGTACCTAAGATGGAGATGAAGAAATCTGAAAATGAGCTTAGATGGGAAGAACTAGTAGCTAATCTCAATAGATCACTGAATCTTTGCGATATGGACTTTACGGATTTAGGTGAGTTATACATCGGTTACTCTGGATATGATGTAAGTTTGTGTTGGAATGAAGTATGTAGGAATTTGTGAATTTTAAAATCGAGATATTAGGTTTTTTAGAAGTGCAGGGATGACATCAGGAAAAGTCATATTACTCCTTTATGTCAGTATCTCACCTCTTATAACTAGGTTTTTAATAAAATGTTGACACAGGATGCCTACAATGCCAAAGATAAAAAAATGGTGGTATGATTCCTCTTTCCTTTTTTTTTAATTCATTGAATGGTGGTTCTTCGCAATGCCTTCCCACGAAAAGGAAGCAGATATTGGACAAACTTCTTCAGGTCATTCATTAATGCACGTGATCCGATGGTATAAAAAAGACCTTACCGCTAAAGGTTAAAATCCCATTAGAAAATGGACGGGGTAGCACCCAAACCAAGACCACTAAACGTAAGGTACCAAATAAAAGATGCTCCTCCATAATCATGTGGTTGGGGGTCTAAATCCCAGAATCTGGAAGCTAACGAAGCGATCCATGCACAACCAAACCTTAGTAGAAAGAAAAGAAAAATGGCGCTGAACGCATCTGTACTCGCAAGTTTTTAAAACAAGGTATCTTGACAGGAAAAGAAGGTATCTCGATAGGTAAAGAAGGTATCTTGATAGGAAATCAAATTTCAGAAGAAGGTATCTTGATAGCACCAAATATCCCTATACGGCTAATACTTGAAGAAATCATAAGGTGGCGCTGGTTGCCCATGGGTGGAACTAACTCTACGAGGGACCAACGATATTTTATGAGGAAATTTCTGAGATAGTCGTTAGTAATACTATAACATTAGTGTCCTAAATGTTTCAACACAATACTGAATCGCCGAGAAAGGTACATATAATACGAGTGAAATTATACAATCAATTAACCATGAAATTTACCAAAAAATAAATCATTGAAGAGGGTTTGGCCTAAGAATCGGTACTCTACAATCAATAAAGAGAAATTCAAATTGCTGGTAACTGATCAAAATAGTAAAAGAAAGTTACGTGATTTTGGCACGTGACCATCTAAAATCTATTCTAAGCGAACGCAACTCTCCTTGTTTGCCAATAAATGCCTTGGCGGGTCTCCTGACGAGAAGACAGTATCCTCAGTTTATTTACCTTTCCTGGTTATTCCCTTACCGCAATTATATCTGCAAATGGTTGTTCGTTTGATATGATTTCAGTGTAGATATATGAGGTATTTCCCGAAGAAAGTATCATTGTGTATATCATGCAGTCTGCTAGTCTAAAGGTGATTGCAAAAATGGTGATGCCTGTTTTTCGATATTATTTGTAGAGGGAAGATCGACTGTCACAAATCTGTTTTCATAAAGTGTCTATGAAGTACATTCCATGTACACTGATTTCAGTAAGGCTTTTGACCTGCCAGATCAAGAAATTTTATTGAGTAAGCTCAATAATTATGGAATGAATATTTCATTTTTCTCTTGGTTAACTTCCTATTTCAAAAGCCGTACTCTTCTTCAGGTGTACCTCAGGGATCTCACCTTGGTCCCAGTCTATTTCTTGTTTTTGTTAATGATATTGGCCGCTTTTCGAATCGAATTATTGACTTTATACTGATCGTTTAAAATTGTTTAGATGTGTTTGATCTTGACAGGACTGTGAGAGGTTTCGGGAAAATTTAAATATTGGCAATAGTGCCAATTGAATGATTTGAAGCTGAATACTAATCAATGTTCGTATTTCGTTTTACTCGTAATATGAGCTATTTTGAGTTTACATGATCAAATACAGTGCACTTCTTAGAGTGAATGTAGTCAAAGACATGCAAGATCGCCATGTCTATTGCAAGCTTCTGAGCCCTCAGTAACACAACTTGATTTTAGGATGATTAACTTTATTCTGTCTAAAAATGTATATATTGATAGGTGCTGCAAGGTACATCGGTCATTCCTCTGCCTAGCGCAGCATTTCCGGTGAATTATATTACTTGCAATCGCTAACAAGTTTCTAATAACAACATATTATACAGTATATATGATCTTAACATATTACAGCTCGATTGTAAGCTAACAATTACAGATCACTACCAGTATATTACTGACAAAACTAATAACATTGTAGGCCCATATCACGAATATCTAGGAATCTAGGAAATTTTGTGGTCAAGCTTTTTGCCTCATTAGTTAGATAGTAAATGTAATACGGGTCAACCATCTAGAGCCCATATTACAAGACTTGCAAAAAGCGCATTGAAGTCATGCAAGTTTTTAAGGTATCTACGTTATAGACTGGGGCAGGGAAATGAACATCTAGAGATTGAGTCCATGAGGAGGATAACTGGATTGCTTTTGTTTGAAGAAAGAAGAATGTGCTTTATTTTAAATTATTAAATGATATAATTGATTCCACGAGTTGTTTGGAACGATGCGGTTTCCAGTTAATACTAAAAATTTGAGACATAATAACATGTTGTCCTGTGATTTGGCACAAGGCAGACTTCCCTATAATGTTTTTAGAACCAGACTGGGAAGGTATATTTTTAATTTGTGACTTTTAAATGTAATATGATTATGATTTTTAAACATTGTCATGTAAAGCTATCTTGTATGAACGTATATTTATGTCTGTTAAATATCCAATTTTCCTAATTTTTTCATTGTGAAATCGTTTACCGCCGAAATAAATAAAGTGTATACAGGGTGTTCCATAATTATTGCGACAAAATGATAGGGGTTGTAGAGGGCATCAAAATGAACAATTTTTCCTTATAAACCCCTGTTCGGAAATATGCCGTTTGGGCTGCAGCAAAAAAAAAGATCAGTTTCTTGAAACAGCTTACCTACAGTAATTGCTCAAAGTGTCCTCCACCTTGCTCAATACACAGCTGTGCACGATTGTTCAATGATCGGCGAACTCTGTGGCATACCCCCGGTATGTCCTGAACATGTGCGGACGCGGCCATCACTCTTCCCAGTAGCTCTTGTTGGTTGGGAACAGGAGTTTCGTACACTAAAGCTTTCAGATAGCTCCAGATAAAATAATCCAGTGGGGTCAGGTCAAGTGACCGCGCAGGCCAAGGCACAGGGCCACCTCGGCCTATCCACCTATTTGGAAATTTGTCGTCCAAATACTGCCGCACTTGTAAAGAAAAGTGGGCTGGACCGCCATGGTGTTGAAACCACATGTTGGCTCTTATATTCAGTGGCACATTTTGTAATAGTTCCGGTAGCACATGCTGTAAGGATCGACCATAAGCATGCCCATCCAAACGTGGTGGAAGCAGATATGGCCCGATGATATGCTCGTCCACAATGCCGCACCAGATGTTAATTGAAAACTGATGTTGGTCTCTATGGATGGCTATGGCATGAGGGTTTTCTTCATCCCAAATGTGACTGTTATGGCTATTAAAATAACCGTCCTTTGTAAAACAGGACTCGTCAGTGAACAAAACGTAGCGACCAAAGTTTAGTTGCCTCAACTCCTGCTGCAGCCACCAACGACAAAAACGTCGACGCGGCAGATAGTCTGCTGGACCCATGGCTTGGACTTTTAAAAGGTGGTACGGGTGTACGATAACAAAAATGTAAACACAGCAGGCTTTTTTTACAAACCGGTGAGACCATGAAATGTGCTAGACGAACATTTTGCAGCTGGTGAATTTTTTGTTTCTCCTATGAGCTCTTAAGGTAAAATTAACTGTAGTGCTCAAACGGCATATTTACGAACAGGGGTTTATAAGGCAAAATTGCATATTTTTATGCCCTCTACAACCCCTATCATTTTGTCGCAATAATTATGGAACACCCTGTATATAATTCTTTTCTTGTACTTTGTGTGCCAATAACAATAAAAACTATAGATAACTTACATTCAAATTATTATACAGGTAGCGAAGACGAAGTGGACATACTAGCTCCGGTTGCCGTACACAACGGCGTACCGCCCCCGCCGCCACCTTTAGCTGACCTTGGAACTGCCCCTCCTCCTCCTCCCCTCTCCAATCGGCTGGGACCGCCAGTGCCGCCTCCTTCTGCCCCAATTCCTCCAATGTTCATCCAACGGCCGTGCAGGCCATCGGAGACCAAGATACCGGTGAAGAAGAACAAGAAAACGGTGAAGCTGTTCTGGAAAGAGGTCAGGGATGATCCCATCATCCATGTCAAGCTGAAGACTGGCTACATCTGGGACGACTTGACACCTGTCAGTGTGGATACGCAGAAGTTGGAGCATTTGTTTGAGTCGAGGGCCAAGGATCTGATTACTAAGGTGAGATATCACGTTGTATTTAGGGCAGTATGGATATAACGTTTTTTATGTGGTATAGGGGTAGTTTTGCGGATAAGGAAGGAGTAGTTTTTGGGAAAAATAACCAGTTTCAGCTTCTCGCCAAACTCGAATAGAAATATCAGCTGCTTCAGAAAACGTCCACGTCTAACCTTAAACCTGGAGTAGAAGTGTTTTCATGATTACTTCTTCAAATACTTATTAGATACAAACTCAAAACATTTGAGCCTGAAACAATGTGACCCGCAAGTTGTTAAAAGTATAATAATGGAATATGTCCAGAACCTTGATTTTTATTTTATATACAAAGATTTATTTTCCACTTATATAGTAATTAGATTATACACTTTTGAATAGTTGAGTTTTACCTTCAAATAATAGTAAACATATTTTCTTTTTGTTTGGTGATCTTCACTGGCATGCGCTGATTTCAGGAGGTGAGTCGTTTTAGTCAGTGGTAACGAGTTATCTTTGCATTTTGATTTTTACCTCCCTTTTTGTATACCTTCTCTTTTAGAGTAGTAAAGAACACCCACTGTCTTGTAATGACCCTTCTTCTTTTTTATATGAATGTTACCTCTACTTTTTATACCTCAAACACAGCACATAATACTTTTTCTGTGTAGTAGCATGCGAAATTATAAAGCATGATTGTTCTTACGTCACTCGAAGGGGCATTCAACATTTGCTAGATATTTTTTTATAAAACATAACGCTAAGCAGGATCTTACGAAGAATAACCAATGCCCTATGGCATATATCAAACGAGATCGTAAAAGGTAGAATCATTTATTAATATCGAATGAAATCGAGCAGCAACCCTCAGTTGCGTGAGTCAGTGGACCACACAGTCGAACAAACGTGTGAAGTTGTTTGCCCCTTTCTGGCATGAATAGTTTCTGTTAAATATGCACGGGGCCGGTTGCAGTGTCATGGAGGGGGAATGCAAAGTTCCGAATTAATGTGGGGGAGGACGCATATTTTAGACTTTACCTCATGGCGCACAAAACTGAAGCCGGCCCTGAAGTACGTGTATTTAAATTTTGTAACATTTATTTAGGAATGTTTCTAATGTTAGTTTATTTTCAGAAACAACAAGAGTTAAACAAGAACAAGGAGATCATCGTTCTGGACCCGAAGAGATCGAACGCTATCAACATAGGAATGACGAAGTTACCTCCTCCAAGGTCAATAAAAACTGCCATTTTGAAAATGGATGCCACAATTATGAATCGCGAGGGCATTGAGAAGTTGCTTACAATGTTACCAACTGAGGAAGAAAGGACCAAGATTCAGGAAGCTCAGGCGGCTAATCCCGATTTGCCTCTAGGTATTCCATAAAATCTTATTTATTTCAAAAAACTATCTTTAAAGTTACCTAGTGCCAAAACGAAAACGTATTACATAGAAACCATTCGTTTAGAATCTGTTTTACCTCTCACGCCACCGGCAAAGAATTATTGTAAAAATTTCGGCCCAGGATTGTGTCTATGCCTGGCATACGAGACATTATAGATTTGACGTGTTCAGTCATGAAAGAAAAAATGAATTTAGAAGTTTTTCATTTTGTGCATGTCATAATATTCAAAAAAAAACATATCTCGTTTTCGAATTTTTTTCGCGGCTAAATGCATCCTTGCTAGACAGCGTGGGATGTCAGAGTTATCTGGTTGTAACATTTTTTTTAAGAAATACTAAACTTTCAGGTAGTGCAGAGCAATTCCTATTGACGCTAGCCTCTATTTCCGAGCTCCCAGCGCGACTCAAACTCTGGGCGTTCAAGCTGGACTTCGAAAACACAGAGCGTGAGATCGCGGAACCACTCATGGACCTCAAGCAAGGCGTGGAGGTACTGAAGGTCAACAAGACCTTCCGAGGTATCCTGAGCACGCTCCTCTCCATCGGGAACTTTCTTAATGGAAATGAAGTAAAGGGTTTCCAGATCGAATATCTTGCCAAAGTACCTGAAGTTAAAGATACGGTTCACAAGCATTCCCTGTTGCATCATTTATGCCATATCGTCATGGAGAAGTTTCCTGATGCGACGGATTTGTACTCGGAGGTAAGCATTCGTATTTTCTGTGATTAGTTTCTTTCGTTTTCCGTTTGATACGCTCGGAGACCAAACACTCTGCCTGAAAGTGTAAAACTCGGCATGCTACTGGAACCACCGCGATCATTTCGGTGGAAAACTTGGAATGTATTTGTTCTGGGAGATTTTTAAAAAAATGCCATATTTCTCCAAGGATATTCCAACACAGACTTAGTATTTGTTATTCGTCTATATATTTAAAAACATTTTGTGATTGTAAGTCTCGTACAATTTAGGGTAAAGCAACTGTTTCTAGCTGGAAAACTGAAGCCAGAGAGGTGGATCAGATAACTGGGTCACTAATTTGGAAGTGGATAGTTAAATATCAACTCACTTTCGTTCTTCACAAACAAAATTGCATTTTTATTAGCTGAAATCATAGATTAGGAGCAATTGCATTTTTTTGGCGCCAAAATTGCTTAGTTTTATGGTGTACTTTTGACTAATTTGACTACCAACGTGACAACGTTGTGTCAACGTAATAATAATTCTTACCGGTGGAAAGATCTACCTTCATTAGGCTTGTGCCGCTTTTCGCAAGTACCATATCCTGAAACTGTCTAACATCTCAATTGTCTAGCACTTGAACTTTTAAAAAATAAAACTAAAAACACCAGCAAATTCAGACTAGGAAAGAGCCAGTCAACGATTTGTTTGTCTCCTAATTCTCAAGACTTGGTACTTCTTACAAATAGCGGCACAAGCCTAATGAAGGAAGATTCTTCCACCGGTATTACTATTACTTATGTTAATACAAAATTATGCACTAAAACTTCGCGATTTTTGGTGACAAGGAATGCAATGTAAACATATATGCTTGGCTCCTACTAATCTCTATTCGTTTTCGTTGAAAAATACGGATTTAATGGCAGAACTGTCAAAAAATCAACTTATGTCCACTTATAGTATGTACTTTTATCCTGAGTACAGACTGAGATTTTAGAGATAAACAAATTGTAGACCTGCTCCTTCTACCTAGTCTGAATTCGTTGGCTGAAATTGCTTTTATCCTTTTTTAAGGCTAACGAACGTTTTTTCATGTTTACTAACATGTGTTTGGGCAAAAACGTACTTGAAAGAAAACTCATTTAAATGTTCTGTATTTTCATGTTAAAATAATTTTATTTTTTCATTCTGGAATCTTTAACGAGCAATTTGTCTTGGGGCCTTTGGAAAATGTAAAAACACGCAGAATACATTTTTTGTTGGCAAATTATTGATATTCCGTCAACATGAAAAGTTTGAAAAATGCCTTCCTGTCCAGTGGGAAAGTTCACTTTTTGATTTAAGAAAAAAATACAATCTTAATGAAAAGAAAATATTTATTACTATCAACATATTCGTAAATTCTGCGGGTTTTAGTTCTTAAATATCATTCCCTCCAAATATTTGGCAGCACTTCAGACACACTCTTCTAATCGCGCTCGCAAATTCTGAAACACTCTCTTGTAGAGTTCCTGAGTGTTGTTGTTTATTTCTCGTCGAATGTTGTCTTTAAGCTCCTCCAGTGTTCGTGGACTATTGGAATACACTTTAGATAACCCCGCAAAAAATAATCGCATGGCGTGAGGTCGGGTGACCTAGGAGGCCAGTGAATGTCGTTATAACTTTTCACCGTGTCTATCGATTCTCTTGAAGTATGAGCAGTGGCCCCATCCTGTTGAAACCATGTGCTTCTGTTGAATCGACGTTTTGTTCTTATAATAGGAGCAAAAAAAGTATAAATCATTTCCTTGTATAGCTTGGAATTGACTGTCAATGCATGACCGATTTTGGCGCGTAATTCAAATTTAAAATGTGAACTTTCCAACTGTTGTGACTTGTGACATTATCAGATCCACCTGTTCAACATTTAGACAAGTTGAAAAAAGTGGGATAATTTTACATGTAAAAGCAATGACAAGAGCAACTGATAAAGCAGTATAGACCAGCCTTGGTTCGACGTATTCAAAAACCATATATAAAATGATTTTGACTCTTAATTTTGATTTCAGATCGGGGCGATTACCAGAGCATCCAAAATCGACTTCGACGAACTGGCTCTAAACATTCAAAGGTTGGAAACTGATTGTAAAGCGTCTTGGGACCACTTGAAGCTTATAGCAAAGCACGATGGTTCGACGATGATGAAAGTGAAAATGTCAGATTTTCTAGCAGATTGTGCTGAAAGGATCATACTTCTGAGCATCGTACATAGAAGGATAATCAACAGGTTAGTTGTTTTTACACCAAAAACTACTCTAGTGTTTTCTCATCTGACGAGTAAGAAGCCATGAAAATGTACAATTTTTTGTCGTTACCTGATCAGTAGAACGCTGAAAGCACACGGCTGACAAAATTGATTTTTTTTTTGATGAATGTGATATTTAAGGAGATGTCCAACCCTATCCTATATTTGGACGTACAGATACAATTTAGTCAACCTTTCATTTTCTTGTAAAAGAAAATTGTTTATTCTTGGAAGGATCACCCGTTAACCTGCATCGTAATTATTCTTAAGATTTCTTATTCTCGTCCCTGCGGCCACAGTCCGAGATGTGGCAACGCTGACACCTAAAGCCGGTGTTAAACAGGAATATAGTTAGTTATAAGGATAGTGCTTTGTGACGTTACGTTACTTATGTATATTTTCGGTTCGCCACGGCTTCTAATTGAATGGGTATAAATCAATCAAAATTTATTTATCATTGGATTTTCCCATATTCCATGTACATAGAAGTGCCACGTATTTTTAGACTGGAAATAAGTCGGTCGGAAATGATTTACCTCTCTCAAAAGTGCTTCGTTTGTCCGTCAGAGTTTTCTTTTCAAAACACATCTTTCCAGATATTTTTGGAACCAATAGTCCGATTTGCATGGTATTTAGAACACAAGTGTTTTGCTACACGTCCTAATATTGTAAGTTGTAAAAAGGACGAGAGGTTCGGCCTCCACTCCTTGTAGGTGCTGGAAGACATTGTGTTGACCTCTTTTGTGATAACCTGGCTGCTGAATGGCTAAGTTTCTGAATCATGTATTCTCTGGCGGAATATCTTAATCCCTATTTCGAGGTACATATTTACTCCTTCAGCTCTCGATTTGGCGGCAAAGCCATCCATTTCAGAGACCTACTTTGTTAGAATCATTTTGCCAGCCGATGCGGTGTTTCTAGTGTTTAGTTTCTTCCATTTCCACGCCATTTTTATATGTTTTTTGTTTGTTCCAGGTTTCATAAGTTCCTATTATGGTTGGGCGTCCCACTACACCAGATCTCCGAGACGAAGCCTAACGAATTTTGTAGAATAGTTTCTGAATTTGCTTTAGAATATAGAACAACGAGAGAACGGGTATTACAGCAATTAGAAAAGAAAGCTAATCATAGGGAAAGGAACAAAACCAGGGGAAAGATGATTACCGATGTAAGTAAATTCTCATTGTTTTGTTCTTTTTCAAACGTTTTGATTGCCCTCAAATCAGTCAGCTTTTCAGCATCTCTATAAGATATCTAGCTGCTTAGTTGTTCTTGTTTAAACATTGAAAATTATTTCAGGTCGGTAAATTCAAAACAAAGGAGGACAGAGCAGATGCAGAGCTCCGTCAACTATTAGGTAGTGATATTTCTGACGTAGAAAGCATGCAAGGTACACTTCCGTGGAGGCGGACGAAACGGGAAGGAAACAAATCCTTTCTGAATTCCACCAATGGCAATCTGACTGACGGCGATGACGAAATTTTGGAATGTCTGGTTAAAACTGCCACGAAGGGCTCTGCCACGAGGACTGCACCGAGGGAGAGGAAGAGGACAAGACATGCAGATAGGAAGTCTCGTAAGTGTTGAACGTTGTGTGCCTGTTTTATAAGGGCGACTGTAGGTTCTCTCCTATACTGAGTAGGTGGCTAGGCGATATAATGTCTTTAATTTATTCGGATGACTGTATAGTAGTACCGAAAAGACCAGTGTCTTGTTTTAAAGGGAGAAAAAAAAACTGGCTGAATCTGTCTCAGATATATTTTCACAATGATGTTCAGTAGAAGACGAAATGTAATTTCCAAAAGAGAAAATATAACTGGAACAGATTGAACTAACTCTAAAGCCGATCCTTCAAAAGCTTGAAGGGAAAATTTCGTAAATCCTCGAGTATCTGCAATTCGGACGAAACATCGTTTTTTGAGTAAATCGCTGGCAAGAATCACGAATCTGAGGTCAGTTCTTTGGATAAATTGGAGTCTGTTTTTAGATACCCCTCCGCCACGTCATTGATTAACGTATACTACCTGAAGATGAACAACCTATAATTTATTCCTGCATCCTAAAAGGCATATGAATAATTTTTTGTTTCAAATCAGTGCAAAAGGTAAAACAAATCGGGTTTTAAAGTTGTAGATCGGCACAAACAAAAGCATTTTTTTTAAATAATTTTTTTTTATTGTCTCGCAACTAATGTAGTTTATGTATTAGTTATTTATTAACATGGTTCACAAGTTTAAACAATTTGTTTTTTATTAAAATTATATTTTTTATACCGTCATTATAAAATTCACAGCAAGACTTTCTAAAGTTGATTTTATTTTGAATTCCTGCTTTGATATTCTCGAGTGTCGAACAGTCTCGCCTCTCAGACCAAATTAAGTTAGCCTGGAAAGATACGTTTTCCGTTGCCACGTTTGGTACCGGTATCGAAGCCACAAAAGAAATAGAAAAGATTTGCGGAGTCTTGGTTTTCTTTAGAAATATTGTCTCATTTTGGTAGCGGTGTCAAATCTTTGTGCTGCACTGTCTTTTTTTTTCACTACTTCTTTGATTTTATATACTTTTTTAGAGTCAAGTAGAGCAAACAAAACAAAGCTACATTCTATAGGGCAAGTGATGTGATGCCCAATTCATTTATTTTTTTGTAATAATAATACTTTTATTGATTTACCGCGACGCGTCCTCAGACCCCTGGAAATCGGTAGGTACCAGTTACACGGCAACGCTGAAACTATAAGATACCAGCGCCATCTATGAGACAGCTTGGTTGGTTCGGATGCTGCCTTATACAGGGTGACTTTGAAGTTGAGTTATTTGTTTTAACAGTGGTTAGATCTGATCAAAAGAAATGTTTTTCTCCTTTAACATTTTTCTGGTAAATTAAAGTAACAAAGTTATGGCCCTTTAGAAGTTTGAGTACCGCCCTGTCTCAATAATAATATTATGTGCTCGTGTTTGGCAACAACGGATATAATCCGCCTTATCGGTTCATCGCATCGGAAACAAAAAAGCGAAAGAATTTGAAACGCTTATCACGATATTTTATTCATTTATTTTATTCAGTTGTATTCAGTCAATGTGTCAGTCGGTAACGCGTGAGTGAATAGTGGTGTTTGTTGCGTGGCTCAAACGAAATAAAAATGGCACATGTTTACGAAAATGCTGAACTTGTGGACATGATTCTTATTTACGGGGGGGGAGTCTTTACAAAATGCTGCCGCGGCATCACGGATTTATGCGGATCGGAGGAGGGGAGGGCATGCCGGTGCTCCAAGCCCGCACGATCAAATACAGGTCCGCAATGAAATACTTGTCGGGAGGATACTTTATAAAACAAGGTACCATTTTTTTTTTATTTTTACACACATATTTTGGTTTATCTTCCTTCTACAATCATTATCTGAAAATTAATGACTCAACTTCAAAGTCACCCTGTATATGGCGATAGGATCTTCAATCTCTTTTTGGCCTCTCTCGATTGGGTTGTCCCCAATTAAAATAGGCATTAGAGATGCCAAAAAGGGATTGAAGATCTTAACACCACCTATAAGGCATAACCAAACACTCGAACTTTTTTCAAAATAAGTTCCTAAATTCATTCATAGATGGCGCTGGTGCCTCCAGATCCCTTTTTGGACTCGGGAATATAGTGTATGGGTGGCTCTCTCCAGGTAGAATACGTTCCTCAATGGCGACATGAACATTTTTGCTGGCCACATATTCAAAATTTACAAAACATCTTGCAGTGACACTTAAAAAATTAAAGTATAGAGAGTATATTTACTATTACTGAAAATTACCAATTACGTCCATAACGTATGAGGAATCCAAGAAATGTAATTGCAATACAATTTGGTCTGATTTGATATAATACTATGACTAATATAAATAAATGCCATTTTCTCTCTCATTTAGTGAAACGCTCTAGAACAAGAGAAAATAATCCGTTCGGTAGCAGAGAATCTCCATAATTGTATTAATGTGGTATGTTATGTGTGAAGTGTGTCCGCATGAATTTCAAAGTTTGGCCTGAAGCTTAGGCGTATGGCATTTATTTTGTTTTATACTAATTTTTTGCATATTCAGGCAATAACAGAGCGCTTATTGGCGGTGTGACCAGACTATATCCTTCAGGTTCACATTTATAGACATTCCTTGAGCAATGATCTCTCCTTGAATTATAAATGAACAATAACGCTTCCCCAAGGTTAAGGAACGTTCCAAAATTTTCCGATAATTTAAAATTTTCAAATCGTTATAATTTTTTTAATATACGCAGTTTTCAGAACTTTTCGAAAATCCAAAATTCTCTAAACTAAAAATTTCGAAATGTCTAAATTCGAGCAATTTTCGAAATTTTCTACATTTTGGAAACCGGTAGTATAAACCGCAAATATTAAATCTTCCAAAGACACTGAATCCTCAAGGAACGTTTATAAATGTGAGGCTCACTCGACATGACATCGACTACTTCCAATCAAAGTGTATCTACGTAACACAACTTGCTCCGTTTCGATCGCATTTGTATATAGAATTTTTTGTTTGTGTGTGGTTTTTCTAATCCCTCACAATATACTCTTAAAATGATTTCTATTTAAATTCAGTTCGCAGGACTTTGAAAAATGGACTATCCGAAGAAGAAAAGAAACACCTGTCTGCATATATCAAAGGCTACTAGCACCTCGACAACTGCAGAGCTCTTTAACCATCGAATTAATTATATGCCTTTTGACATCTCAGAGATGTAAAAGTTTTTGTATTACTGACTTTTAATGTGATAAAAGTATGGCTGCTCACTCATCTAGTTGTTTTTTGTATTATTTATGCATACAATTTTTAAGTTTTTCTTAGTTATTAGAATTAGTTTTTATTTATTTTTACTTTAGGGGATGAGGAACAGCTGCTAGAACTGTATTTACACTGTGCCTTTTACAACATGGCTACCTGCTAGTCTTCATGTTTGAGTTTTGGAGTGAAGATTGCAGTTTATATTTTTATTTTTTCACCAATTCTTGTTTTTTGTTCGTTTTATTGGATACACTTTTACAATAGTTTTTATTGCTGAAAATACCTACTTTGAGCTAGCTAACATTGAGAATTGCTTTCGTTAAACAGCAAGCCTGAAAAATCAGGCACGAAGCGTAAATAAATAAACATTTGATCTGTTTTTGAAACCACTAAATATTTACTGCAATTTTCATCCTTATTTCACAAGATCATGTTTTCATCACACCAGTAACTTGCCTTTTCATTTTGTAAATCATTACAAATTACCTTTTGTCTTCGATTATATTAAATCAATAAATCAACTTTGTTATATGAACGTGTCTCATTTATCTTTAGAAGTAGCTTCAGGCGTTGTCAAATAAACTCGCGAATTTTACTATTTCCATTAACCCCACGCGATGACATCGGCCACTCCCGTCCGAGTCACTTGCCAAATAATCTTGCGAAGACTATATGCGTTAATCCCAGTAGCTATTCCCATTCGAGGTGTTTGCTAGATAAACTTGCGCAATAAGTTTAACCAGACTATTTGTTAATCCACGCGACGACATCGGTCACCCCCGTTCGAGCCGTTGTCCGAATTTACTTGCTAAATTAATTTAACCGAGCTATTTCAATTGACCCGTTTTTTGACGTCAGCCACTTCCCTGCGAGATGTTAACTTGCGAATTCATTTCACTGGACTATTTTCATTAATCCCCCGAACGACATCAATCACTTCTGATGCAGAATTGCCATGTTAATACACGTATATGCGATAATCCCAGCGACTACAATACTCCCATTCGTGTTTGCTACATAGACAGGCGAAGCTGATTTCACCGTACTATTTTCGCTAGTACCCCTGATGACATCAGCCACTCCATTCGAAGTGATTGCTAAACCAACTTGCGATTAATTTCACTGGACTATTTTTATTAATCCCCTGACCACATCGGCCACTCTCGCAGGGGTATTACGTAGCTTGAAAAGTGACATTGTCGCTTTTTTTGACATCATGTGAATTTCCCAACAAGACGTCAATTTAGAACTTGCTGTCGTTCACTTCCTGCTCTATTGTAGCGAGCGATTTGCATACTAATCTATACTAAGTGACATATAAATCCGAACACCCAGTTTAAATGGTTTTATTTTAATAAAACTTGGTGAATGTATTTATCTTACTGTAAATAACAAGTGAAAAAATTTTCAGCCTTATCAGTTGGACATTCCGGTTTTTATACTGCTTTTTTTTAATTCACTAACGCTCTAAAAATGAATATTTCAGCCGCAGTAAAGAATCAACGTTGGCGGATTTTGGTTCTTGACATCCTTTACGATCGGTTACGATGCCTAGAGTACGGAGACCTGTACGATTTCGTCAACTCAGTGAGTTTGATAGGGGCCGTATAGTGGGACTTCGGGAAGCTGGACTTTCTTTTCGGGCAATTGCAGTTAGAGTGCAAAGAAGTGTAGACACTGTGGTTAGGTGTTGTCACGCATGGCTTCGAGAATGCCGCACGCAAAGAGCAAGGGGCACTGGACGCCGCCGTAGAACAACAGACCGTGAAGATCGCCGCCTAAGATTATTGGCCTTAAGGGACCGTTTCTCCACTACCAGGTCCATTGCAAATGAATGGTTTGCAGAACACAGAACCATGCGAAGTTTTTACTGACGAATGAGAAGTTTTGGCTTGTTTTCATACCGGCCACACTGGGTCCTCCCTTTAACTTGAGAACACCGACGTAATCGCCTTGAGTGGTGCAGACAACGGTCACTCTGGGATCACGAATGGAATAGTATTGTCTTTAGTGACGAGTCTCGATTTTGTTTAGGCATGCACGATCGTCGTGCCAGGGTTAGAAGTCGACGTGGTGAAAGGAGGAATCCACAGTTTTTTGTTGAAAGACATGTTCATCACACTGTTGGAGTTATGGTTTGGGGTGCTATAGCTTATGGTTCCAGGTCACCTTTAATCTTCATCAGAGGTAACATGAACGCGCAGCGTTATATCCACGAAGTTCTAGAACCCCATCTTTTACCCTATCTTGACACCCTGGCAGATCCAACTTTCCAACAAGATAATGCCCGACCACATGTTGACCACATGTTGCAAGAGTCACAATAGACTTCTTTCAACATAATGAAGTCACATTGTTACCATGGCCACCAAGATCTCCCGATTTATCCCCAATTGAGCACGGGTGGGATATGAAGGGTAGGAGATTGCACAATTTGCAACGTCCTCCTCAGACTCTAGAAGCACTTGATCAGAAGCATGCCTAGGCGCGTTGGAGAATGCGTAGCACATCAGGGTGCATCCACACATTATTAAAGGTCAAAGGGCTTTAAAGCAGTGCAATCATTTTGAAATTTTTATCATTTACTTATTATGCTTCATTAAGTACTTATACAAAATTTTATTAAAATAAAACCGTTTAAACTGGGTGTTCGGATTTATATGTCACTTAGTATACTTAGTCAACAAGCTGACATTTTATCGTTCTTTTTTGTCATCATATAGGTTTAACTAGTTAAATTTTGTGTGACCTGTGATAACACTTTACATAGAACCTCCATCTATGGGATGGCAGCCCAAGTGAACGAATTTTTACTAGTTTTAAAAGTTTTATGTTACAGTTTTTAACATTTGTCCAGTTGAAAATGCACAGGATTACCTTAAAATCATTTAAGAAAGGTGTACGGATGAATATATTTTTTATTCGGCCCATCTCCAATAGATGGCGCTGCACATCGGTAGCCACCACAAAGCCCACCGTTTTGAATGACTACCTTAGGCTGCTGAAATCCGTTCAGTAAGCCCCCAAATGCATGAAAGGAGGAGAACGCTTTGTTTTTCAACCAAGTCAAATGAATACGTAATAAATATTAGTTATTAAGCTAATCCAAACAAAATAATCCTTTTATCAAAAAATGGGAGATTTTTAACCCCTGATGCGTTGCCAGCGGAATGGGGTTATGGGAACTCACCTTCAAAGATCAAGAAATTTAAATTGCCGTGGGGGGGGGGGGTTACGAATCCCATTTTTTGATGAAGAGATTATTTTGTTTGGGTTAGTTTACTATATCTAATATTACGTATTGATTTGGTTTTGCTGAAACAAAGCATCCTGCTTGCTTGCATTGAGACTTACTGATCGCATTATTTTCGTTAGTACCCCTGAAGACATCAGTAACTCCCATTAGAAGTGATTGCTAAATTAACTTGCGAATACTTTCCCTGAACTATTTTTATTAATCCCCCATTCGAGGTATTTGCAATATAAAGATGCAAAGTTACTTGTACCGGACTATATCTGTTAATGCACCCGATATCATCGGCCAATCATGTTCGACCTGTTTCTCAAATTAATTTGCAAAGCTTCACCGGACTATTTCCATTAATCCCTTTGAAGACATCGATCCCGCTCAAGATTTTTGTCACATAAACTTCGTCGATTTGCTCGGACTATTTTCTTTAATTTCTTTAACGATATCAGCCGCTTCCTCTTCTCTCCGCTCGAGATGTTTCCAAATAAACTTGCAAAGTTAATCTTACTGGACTATACCCTCAAAGGTACCTGTAAAAAGCACCATCAACCAGAAAAAATGTTGTTTTTTTTAGTAATTATCCATTTCTATTTCGTCAACCATAAATTTTATTCTATAGTGTATTTACACCCAAGATAGAAGGGATGCGTGATTGCCAAAAGCAAGGACGGCGTACAGGGCCGCATTCAGGGCTACCTCCGAATGATGGACTACCACCAACGTGTTGTAAAACAAAGATGACAGTATTTAACAGAAACAGAAACTTAACAAACTACTCAAATACACTTAACAACAACAACAGCAACAACCAAGCAAGGTGAATACGAAAACACGAGCACGCAGTGATACACGCGACGGACGGTGGCCTGAGTGCAACTCTGCCTGCCTTGCCCCTGCCCCGCGCATTATTCCGCCAGGCGACCGCTTGAAATTTAATGGCGAATTAACCAATAAGAGGCGTTGTCCCCACCTGTTACCGAGAGATCACGGGCTAACTGTTATTATTTACATCTCATCTTGAATTTGGATTCAGTTTAGTCTTCATTTCTTCGATTATATAAAATCAATACACCAGCTTTGTTATATTAACGTGTCTTATTTATTTGTAAAACTCACTCTTATAAAATGTTTGTACAAATTATGAGCGAAATATAAGTATAAAAACTTTATTTACCTACTATATAACAATGTTGATAAATTCCAAATAAAAGACAACAATGATATGTAGGAGATATAAATTAGGAATGTAATTGAAATTAAATATTTGCGTGGCCGTAGACCATTTTCTAAATCGATTTTGAAGAGATTCTAAAGGCAGGAATTCCCATTGACGCTCCCAAAATCATTTTTCAAAATAGTATTATAGCCTTATGGAATGTATTGGATGATTGTGGCAGAATCTCTAAAAAAAGATTCTTAGGATATTCAATGAAACTGGCAATCCACCAAAATTTATTTTTACAGAAATATATTTTGAAATTTTACGATATATTACTCAATACTAAAAGTTTTAGTATCACCAATGTTTCTCCAAATGACATTATGTACCAATATCTGCAATGTCGAGGTTTCAATTTTGAACCAAATGCCAATAAAATATGGAAGTATTAAGTAATATGAAGTACTGGCACTTCAAATGAATCTCAAAATAGAAATTTTCTGATCGAGTGAGAGTACGTGAAACGGCAGTTCCAAGGAATTTTACTGTGTAACTGATTGACCTGTCACAACCTATGAAAAAAATATTAATTTCATAATTTATTTTCTACCTACGCATACTAAAAAAAAGGAATGGGGTTGAGATGGAAACATAAAATTATATCAGCAAAGTTATGGAAAGCGCAGAGTTTGCATTATTTTGAAGGAAGAGTGTGAACTCAAGTAATTCTCTAGGGCTGCCCTCAACTGTTTCAGTTTGTTCCTGTGGTAATTTAATTCAACCTAATAAACTGAAACGCAACAAAAAAATGTTGACTTGTAAAAACTACCTAAATACCTAGATAAAATGTCATAAAAGATCTATATACAACACTGGTCGATTTCAATGTGTGTGAGAGAGATAATTGTGCAAGAAAGTGCGCCAACAGCATTCCACAATTTGCCAGGCAACAAGATGACTACAATTGTTTGGCGCACTCTCTCTCTCTCTCTCGGACTCATTGAGATCGATCAAGGAAACGGTTATGGCCAGCATTGTATGCAGTTGTGTATTAAGCATCTTTCTATAACTCTGCTGATTGGTAAATCTTCAGTCGACGTTTTCCTTATAATTCGTCGTGTTTAGGTCCCGAGAATTCATCGTGGGAGATGAATCCGTTCTTGTCTTTGTCTTCATGTTGGAAGATCTCTTCCACCAACTTGTCGTTCTCGGCCATCATGTTCTTAATTTCTTCGCTGGGATGTTCACCTTCGGCGGCGACGATTTGCTTCTTCAGGTACTCGCTCACCTAGAAAGGAAAATGGAAATATAGAAAAAACCTATACGGGGCGATTCACAAAATTATGGCAGTGTTTCTGTGGAGGAGAATAACACAAAAAGATCCTAACAAAACGTTTCTCCACGATCGGTTCATAGAGTGTGAGTCCACAAAAGTTGAAAAGTTGGGCTTCAGTCAGATGTGCGGAAAACAACCTTTACATATTTTACTTAAACATCACGTTCTATCGATGTTTGGAATAAAAATTGAATAGTATTTCCCTTCGGGTGAATATTTTAAAATTTACGAGCTGTATTTTTTTTAATCCACGAAGAAAGTATCAAGGGTAGACTGCAACATCCCTAAAAAAATGGCGTCAAGTAGGTTGACTCTGCACGAACACTTCTGACGCTACGCTAGACCCTGTCGAAATAAGACAGCGCCATAGACCTTATATCTTGGACACAACTCCCACACCCTGATTTTTCACCCCTAAAAAGTTCCCGAAAAATGATCAAGATTTTTTGAAACATCAAAAAACGCAAAACGTGTTCGCCATTGACATAGTAGAAAACCCTGTGTGAAGATTTCATCAAAATCCGACCGGTATTTCCCAAGTTATAGCGGGGTTAAGGACAGACAGTCAATCTGACGGAATGAGTGACGTGATTTTTCGTGTTGTACATGTTATCTAACATGAAACAAACATAATATCTTTTTTCGAAATTCCTCGCCTTTTAGCGTGGGAAGTAAAATGGATGGTAAACAATCAATTTCACTTATTGAAAATGATATTTTGCCTAGGTTGATAATACCCCGTTGCCTCTCCTATTTTTTGTCAGATCAATCTCCTTGGGGAAAACCTGGCCGGATTATCAGGTGAAATCTTCAAAACACGCTGTAGTTAGTAGAGTTTATCATTGCAAGTTGTATAAAGTATATTAAGGAGGTAAGTTATATCAATCAATCACTATTGTTATCAGTGAAGTAGGAACCTACAAGGCCCTGTATATCAATGAACCTCCGTTTATAGAAAGTTTTTGTGTTATTTTTCGATTTAAGTCTTCCTTAAGAAATACTGCCCTGTTTTTTTGAATCGTCTTGTTGAAAAACGTACGTTAACCATTGCATAAATCAGCGTTCATAAGCATAGTTGGAAATTAAAGCAAAATAGCTGAAAAGGATGCAAAATTAAATATATATCTAAGTTTGTTCAGAAGAGCAACATGGGAAAATTTGCATCATTTTCTTCAAATTATCAAAAATCTGCTAAATATATTTGGGTTCTGTATTCGATTAAAAATTACGATAAAAAGTGAGTAATATAGCAAATGTTTACATATGAATCTTGGATATGTCAAAATTTAGCAAAGCGTCTAACGTGGTAAGTAATTTGGGAACAGCTGAAAAAGTTTATCCATGTAAAAAACAAGACGAGAACGGACAGTCAGCAGATTGACGACAAATGACAAAGGTGCGACTATATACAGGGTGTCCGCAAAGTTGGGGTTTTCCGTGTAGATCTTGAAAACATAAGCAATTTTCCTTAGTACCATATACACCAATGTCTTAAGGGAACCAAGATAAAGGGCTCTGCAACATCAAAAATATCTGAATACCGCCCTGTAGCCGCGACATCCCCGACTGGTACTAGGACACTAGCTCAACCCGACGACAGAACTGGGTAGGGGTCAGTGTGTCAGGTCAGTATGCAACCTTCAACCGACGGTTACGGTCACCGGTGTAGACGTAACCGCGTAGACGAGAATCCCTCAACAAGCACTAGAGACGTGGCTAGAGAAGTGCAAGTATCAAAAACTAAAGTGTGGCAAACGCTGCGTGAAGAGGGGCTGTATCCGTTTCACGTCCAACGTGTACAAGCCCTTCAACTTGACAATTTTCCAGCAAGAGTGCGGTTTTGTGAGTGGTTGTTGCATCAACATGACAATAATCCGGACTTTTTGAAGTGCATATTGGTGACAGACGAATCTACGTTCACGCGTAATGGGGTGAATAACTTTCGCAACACTCATGTTTGGTCAGTAGAAAATCCGCACGCTGTCCGTCGGGCACATTTTCGGTGAATGTTTGGGCTGGTATGGTGAACGGTATGCTCATTGGACCATTTATTCTCCCAAATCGATTGGACGGGATGCAATACCTAGACTTTTTACGCCACATTTTGCCTTCCTTGTTTGCCTCCGTCTGCTCGGTAGCGCATCAGCTGATTTCATTTTCTTTTGGAGCGGTATGATTTCGGGCAGAGACGTACTTAGCCCTTCTCGTCAACTGGAGAGTGAGCACTTTTTCCTGAATTTTTTTTACTTGGTCGCCCTCGTTTCACTACACATCACCTTTGTTATTTCAAGGGTAGTTGTTTCTGAAAAGGAAAACCCCAACTTTGCGGACACCCTTATATAGTCAAATCATATTACACGAAAATAACCCTGGTTTGCGAAAGATGTATATGTAAGTCTGGTTTTATTGCTGCAAGTTGTTCAAACTGGTATTCAAAACATGGACGCATAAAATGGGTACACCAATTTTTGTGGGAAACACTTTTTGTTCGACAACAAAGAATGAGAAAAGGATTTTTGTGGGATTCATTTGGAACTGTTGGCGGGAACGAAAAAACTCTACAAATAAGATTTTTAGGTATTTATGAGGCCTACAAAATGAGACCTACGTAAAGAGATCCGACTAATAGCAAAAAAGTTATGGCCGAAAACCGAGGCAAACTGCAGGTACTTGTTGGAAATGCATCGATGGTTTCTCGCAGATACTTGAAATTCTTCAAATTCGTAGGATTCGTACTAAATGAGCCGTATTCGTAAAACAAAGGATATCCTTGTACTTGCAAATTTTGAAGGAAATCCTCCAGATGGTATTTATAATAATTTGAAGTAAATACTTTTGCTTTTTGAGTATAAGTATATCCTTCAAAGCAGTGACATATGTAAAAGGGTATTCATAATCTTCACCTTATGCTTGGCATAGAAAGCATATCCTTCAAAAATTCTGAGTGTGGTCAGTAGCAGACTCAACTTCGTAACGAAAGGTGGTCAAACGATGATGGCGGAAATTGTGGATGTTAGGGATGTACAAACCTCGTCTACCTTCACTTGGTCTTGACTTCAAAAAATTATATCGGTTCGACACTTTCATGTATTTATTGAATAAAGATATGTCTACACTATCTCGGTGACCCTGGATATCAACAAGGTATTGGTCAGGAACTTGGTGTTAGTCAAGCAACGGTATCTCGGACTGTGGATAGAGTTGTGAACAGCATAGTTGCACAGTCGAACGAATGGATCAAGTTTCCAACTACCAACCATGAACTGATGGAGGCCAAGCGGATATGGCAAAGCATGTATAAATTTCCGACAGCAATTGGTGTAATTGATTGTACACATATAGGAATCCTGAAACCAAATCGCCATGGAGATGAGTATATCAACCGAAAAGGGAAACCTACTTTAAATGTGCAAGCCACTTGTGATGCCAGAGAGATGTTCACAAGTGATGATGTTAGTTGGCCTGGATCAGTGCATGATTCCAGAATATGGAGAAATCCACAGACTAGAATAAATAAAGCAAATGTTGCACTACTTGGCGATGACGGTTATGGTATTGCGCCATGCCTTAGGACTCCCTTCCGAAATCCTACTCCAGGTGCAGAAATAAATTATAATACGCTTTTAAAACAAGAAAGAGTTATAATTGAACGCTGTTTCAGTCAAGTGAAACGCCGGTTTCCTATCCTACAGTATGTTTGCCGCGTAAAGTTGGAAAATGTGCCGAAAATTATTGCTTGTATTTTACTCCATAATGTTGCAAAGAGCTTGTGCGATCCTGACTTTGAGTTAGTTGAACAAATCCCAGATGAAGATGAAGGAAATCATGAGAATGACGAACTTCCTCTCCACCAACTAGGTCAACAAATAAGAAGAAACTATTACAATAAATAGTTTTACCGATTAAAGTGTATTTATAAGTTCTAATACGTTTTATTTTCGTGAACATCATAAGTTACAGGTGGCTTCTGACGCTGCATCATTTCTAATTTCGTTTTATAAAACTCTTGTTGTAAAATACTTGTTTGGTACCGCTGTAATAGCACTAGACGTTGCAGTTCTTTTGTAGTTAACCCTTTGGTTTCCTCAGTTCCGTATTTCTCTGTTGCTGATTTTCCTTTTGGTGGCAATGTCTTCTGAATTGCTGGCGCTGTAATACTAACTGTTTGCTCACTGCGCTCGGTATATAGTTCACTTCCTTCTTTTTGAACACTACCAACCTGAATGGCACCTCTAGTTTTACCAATTGTAGGATTACAGTCACCTTCTATAGCTTTCAGCAACTTTCTTTCCTAATCTAACAATTTAATTGCTTTATTACCAGTTTTTTTTTAGATCTGTTTTTTTCTTCAATCTTGATTTCATGTTGTTGATTTTTCTTAATAACCCTTCAGTATCTACGCCGTTAAAATTATAGTCGCATTATCAACAAGTGCCAAAACCTGCATTTTGCCTCGTTTTTCCGCCATAATATTTTTGCTATTAGTCGGATCTTTTTACGTGTGGTCTCATTTTGTAGGTCTCATAAATATCTAAAAATCTTATAGGAAAAGTTTTTTCGTTCCTGTCAGCACTTTCGATTGAAAAAAAAAACACGTTTTCTCATTCTTTGTTGTCAAATAAAAAGTTTTCGCACAAAAATTGGTGTACCCCTTTTATGCGTCCATGTTTTAAATACCCCCTTGGACAACTTGCACCAATAAAACCAGACTTTACAATTATTTCGGGGAAACTTGCTAATCTGATTAGACTAATATGTCTAAACGAACAATCACATACCAAATCATTTGAGACACTATGATGACTAAAAATTTACAACCCCTGAATTCTTTCGATATTTTGTCAGTTTCCCTGAAAACACTTTTCAGCAATCTTATGTTTCTCAGATCTCCAAAATAATCATATCTTCTACTTTTAAGTATACAAAACACGCAAAACACAAGGAAGATAGATCTGATTTATAAAAAAATACAACTCATAAAATGATCAAGTTTATGAAGAAACTTGTTGGTTATGGACAGTAAGGACTAGAGAAATCATGAAAAATTCCGCAATGTCAATTTGAAATGGATTGTTCGTTGAATCAAAGTTTACGGGATAAAGCGAAAGTTAGGTATCGGCGGCAAATAATTGTTCAGAGGCCTAAAAAATTCCAAAAACCCGCTAATAAATAGTTTCCTTTACTATACTACAACTATTTAAAACTGTAATGACTCATACGCGTGATCAGGGCTCGATCCCGGCTTCCTTCCAGTACAGCCGTATAGCGTACGACATATGTCGTTTCTGTGGCTTTGCGGTGGTCAACAGCACAGACAGAGATGGAAATAATGGCTGATTGTTCTCCGCCGGTAGAACCAATGAAATCAAAGACGCGCCTCGACCGGCAGACTCATAGGCGTCGGCAACGCATTGGAACGTGTTTCGTTGAGCGATCGCATATTGTGTGTTTTTATAAGAATTGTTGTGTGATTGTTATTGTTGTGGTTTCTGTGGTTACTGTTTTGGTTATACTTAACCATGGAGAGTACAAATGGCACGAGTGGAAGTACTGAAAGCCAGGGAACAAGTAGACGGCTTCGTAAAGCACTGAAGAGGGACGCGAAAGAAATCGTGCTCAACGTGTTCAATTATCTGAACAGAACTATGTCGCAGGGAGATGCACTCGCGCGTTGTGAAAGTATGACAGGCGTTCCAGAGTGGACCATTCGCAGGGTGGTGCATGAAAAGAAGAAAACTGGAGCTACTACTGATCCAAAGTTTAATTTGAAGGAACGAAAGGGCGTTAAATTGGATGACGATAGCAAAATGGCGTTAAGGCGAACCGTACATTCATTCTTCTTTAGGAATGAGATACCAACCCTCAAGGCTGTACATGCAGCGAGGTAATGAGGAAATCCCTGCACGAAATTAATTTTCGTTACGAAACCCGTAATCGGAAGTCAGTATTGATAGAGAAACCTGAAATAGTCGCCTGGCGTCGAAAATACCTACGCGAAATGATTGAATATAGGCAACAAAGCAGAAAAATCTATTATTTGGACGAGACATGGGTAAATGCAGGTCACACAGTTAAAAAAACCTGGATAGACAAAAACGTAGTGAGTAACCGACAAGCAAGCATTGAAGATCTGTCAACAGGTCTTCGTGGACCGTCAAGGAAAGGTCAAAGATTGATCGTAACTCATATTGGTAGCGATAGTGGCTTTTTAGAAGAGTGTGACTTGGTTTTCGTCTCTAAAAAAGGAGGTGATTACCATGACGAAATGAATGCCAGCTGCTTCGAGAGTTGGTTTCAAGGGGTGCTTCAGCGAGTTGAGCCCAACTCTGTGATCGTCATGGATAATGCTTCCTACCATAGTCGTCGAGCCGAACGTGTACCGACTATGGGATCTCGAAAAAGTGACATGCAGCAATGGTTGCGCGAAAAAGGAATCCCGTTTGACGATTCATGTGTGAAAGCGGAATTGTATGAAAAAATTAAACAGCACAAACCTGCGAACATTAGTTACGAGACTGATCAGATGGCCCGTCAATGTGGTGTCACTGTGCTGCGGTTACCGCCCTACCACTGTGAACTGAACCCAATAGAGCTCATCTGGGCTCAAGTGAAGGGTTATATTGCGCGCCATAACACAACCTTCAAATTACCAGACGTTAAGGTTTTACTTGAGACTTCCATACAGCTAGTAACGCCCGACGCTTGGCAGAATGCTATCCGTCATGTTGTGAAGGAAGAAACAAAAATGTGGCAGCTTGACCACCACATCGACACAATCATAGAGCCAGTTATAGTCAGTTTCAACGAGGAAAGCGATAGCGACAGTTTATTACTGTCAGATGTAAGTGGACGCGACGATGAACAAAGGGAATTCCCAAATTTTTGACTTACAATATGTTTCAAACCACTCTTTATTAAGCATGTGACAAATCTAGTTCACCCATGTTAAACATTCATACCCCGCCTATGAACAGCCGACTACTGGTAGTTAAGTGATGTTCACGTGAACATCGATGAGTCATTACAGTTTTAGATAGTTATAGTATAGCGTCTAAAGCGTAGCCCAAGCAAATATGGGTAGAGAGTATGAAGAGACCAATTCAATCCACAAGTGATTCAACTCCTCTTTATTCCGCAAACTTTGATAAAAACCTGCGCCAAACCCAAAAATAAAAACTGAAAGTCAGATCCGACGCCAACCCGTCGGAGTCTGACACAGCAGGCTGCTTACAAAGCCCCTTACTTCCTCCCTGCTCAGCTGGTTGTCCTTGTCGGCGTCGATCTCCTTGAAAACATTCGTGGTATCCGGCTTGGCATCGCCGATGTTGATCAACTCCACTTCGAAGATCAAGGTGGCCTTGCCGGGAATGACGTTTCCGGCGCCCCTGTCACCGTAGCCCAGTTCAGGGGGAATGGTCAGTTTACGCTTCTCGCCCACGCACATGTCTAGTAGGCCTTCGTCCCAACCGCGGATCACTTGGCCCACGCCCATTCGGAAAGTGAACGGCTGGTCACGGTCCAAACTGGAATAAAAAGAAATGTCAATACAGTGGACCTGCGCTAATCCGACAAACATTATGCAGGGCAGTGTCGGACTATCGAAATTGTCGGATTATAGAGCACTGTCTAAGACCTCCTATAGTCCGGAATTTTTTACAAAATAGTACCTTGTAATCCGACAAATTACATATCCAATGGTAAGATTATATATGTTATGTATATGTATGTACTTTGAAGTACAAATCATACATAGTTTATGTATGTCGAATTTAGTAAATTAAATAACAATGGAGAGCTTACATTTTATTATAAAATTAAGCATAAATGCACAAACATGTCGAATTTAGTAAATTAAATAACAATGGAGAGCTTACATTTTATTATAAAATTAAGCATAAATGCACAAACATATGTACCAAAATAATTAAGAATTATTAATCAAAATCATTAATGAATTTATCAAATTATGAAACTTGGAAATATTCATCAATTTTTTTTGTTTAAGGTTGTTATAACGCGAGATCAGAGCTTTGTCCCTCAGTCTTCTCACAAGCAAAAGTTCGTTGTAGGATGTACCATTCTCTTCAGCCATTGTAAACCTAGCTCAAAGGCGTTAATTGCGTCTTGTGCTGTGACTTGTGGAGCAGTTGCAATCACGTCGTCGTTATTTTCCTGATTGTTTGTTGTATAATTAGAAACCTCTTTTATAATCTCTTCGTCAGACATTTCATGAAAAACATTTTCCTCTTTATCCATTCCACGGCACCAGATTTCCAAATCTTCCGGACTTATCCGTGTTTCAGTAGCGACTTGTTCTATAACTTCCAAAGTTACACTGATTTGTAGAACGTTCCTAGTGTGGAGACTATATCTGGCCATAACTTTTTCCAAGACGATTTAATAGTTGATGACGGTAACGCATTCCACGACTGACAAAGAGCAAAAAAACAAGTCTTTCATATTAAATTCTTTTAAAGTTTTTTCTATTGGTTGGTCTTTTGATACGGCTCTCAGAAGTAGGTTTTTCTTATAGTCTTACTTGGCAAACTGAATGATATTCTGGTCCATTGGTTCAATCAGTGCAGTGCAATTTGGCGGAAGAAACTCTGCAGTGATGCATTTATCCTCAGTTGTTAGTTCTTCTTCAGACGGATGACCGGGAGCGTTATCAAGGAGCAACAACGCTTTTTGAGGAAAATTATGATCTTTTAACCATTTTCTAACTTCAGGTACGAAGCGTTCATCAAACCACTTTATGAAAACGTCTTTTGTCATCCATGCACTTTTTTGTCCGTAATAGTGTACAGGTAAATCAATGTTTTTGAAGAATGTTTTTATGCCTGAATGTTACCTCCCGCATAGTGTAGGGAACCCTTTGAATTGACGGCACTTGAGCGTTGGGGAGGACGCCCATGGTGGAGTTGGCAGCAAAGATCTTGGCTAGCACTTCCGCCTTGGCCTTTGAGTCGAATACAATAGTTCCATCCTGACACGTAAGTGGTGGAAGGCTACTGTGTGAGAAGTTCTTTTCAATCTGCTTGGCCAGCGTCCAGAAAGACCGACTGCCATTGCGCTGGGACATTACCTGCCTAACTGGTGCTGGTTTTTGGCATGGCGAACCGCTTCGTTGTATTTGTTTCTGGACTCGACGTCGGCTTGTCTCTTCTCTACAGTAGGGTCTTGTAAGAAGGTTCTGTGTGCCTTGATCTGCTGGCGAGCAGTGTCACACGATTTGTTAAACCAGCCGTTGCACCCTGGTTTAGGCAGTTTCACTATGTGAGGGATGTATTCCTCCATTCCAACGTGGATAATTTCTGTTATCGAAGAACAGACAGCCGACGCATCCGCGTCAGTGAAACAGACATCTCTCCAAGGAAAGCTAGAGAAGAAGTCTCTGAGCCCCTCCCAGTCCGAAGTTTCTGCTGCCACAGCGGGTTCTAACCGAAACCTAACCTCCACAACACCGTGGTCTGAGTTACCCAGGGGAGACAGGACAGTGGTGCTGTAAGGGACAGGATGCGGGGTCAGAAAGAGATCCAGCAGGCTATTGGCGTATGACGAGACGCGGGAAAAAAAACTGTGACTGAAACCACCACTACAGCCACCTAAAATCAGCTACAAACAAGCCTTGTGCATTTATATACATTGGGATGCCATAATGCTAAATAGAACGAGCACAGACAAATAAATATCACTTTGAGGTAAAAATTTACAATAACGACTGCAATAAAGCGTATTGTGTTTATGGGCGCAACGTAATTTTTGCTAATAAAACATTAACCCACATGCACCAAACAAGGGCGTCGCTTGTCGATCCATAGGGAGGAAAAATGCAAGTACTTAATGAAGCATAATAAGTAAATGATAAACATTTCAAAATGATTGCACTGCTTTAAAGCCCTTTGGCCTTTAATAATGTGTGGATGCACCCTGATGTGCTACGCATTCTCCAACGCGCCTAGGCATGCTTCTGATCAGGTGATCAATGTCCTCCTGGGGTATCTCATTCCAGGCAACCACCAACTCCTCTCGAAGTGCTTCTAGAGTCTGAGGAGGACGTTGCAAATTGAGCAATCTCCTACCCATCATATCCCACACGTGCTCAATTGGGGATAAGTCGGGAGACCTTGGTGGCCATGGTAACAATGTGACATCATTATGTTGTGACTCTTGCAACATGTGGTCGGGCATTATCTTGTTGGAAAGTTGGATCTGCCAGGGTGTCAAGATAGGGTAAAAGATGGGGTTCTAGAACTTCGTGGATATAACGCCGCGCGTTCATGTTAGCTCTGATGAAGATTAAAAGTGACCTGGAACCATAAGCTATAGCATCCCAAACCATAACTCCAACAGTGTGATGAACATGTCTTTCAACAAAAAACTGTGGATTCCTCCTTTCACCACGTCGCCTTCTAACCCTGGCACGACCATCGTGCATGCCTAAACAAAATCGAAACTCGTCACTAAAGACAATACTGTTCCATTCCTGATCCCAGAGTGACCGTTGTCTGCACCACTCAAGGCGATTACGTCGGTGTTCTCGAGTTAAAGGGAGGACCCAGTGTGGCCGGTATGAAAACAAGCCAAAACTTCTCATTCGTCGGTAAACACTTCGCATGCCAATAGGTCTTCCGTGTTCTGCAAACCATTCATTTGCAATGGACCTGGTAGTGGAGAAACGGTCCCTAAGGCCAATAATCTTAGGCGGCGATCTTCACGGTCTGTTGTTCTACGGCGGCGTCCAGTGCCCCTTGCTCTTTGCGTACGGCCTTCTCGAAGCCATGCCTGACAACACCTAACCACAGTGTCTACACCTCTTTGCACTCTAACTGCAATTGCCCGAAAAGAAAGTCCAGCTTCCCGAAGTCCCACTATATGGCCCCTATCAAACTCACTAAGTTGACGAAATCGTACAGGTCTCCGTACTCTAGGCATCATAACCGATCGTAAAGGATGTCAAGAACCAAAATCCGCCAACGTTGATTCTTTACTGCGGTTGAAATATTCATTTTTAGAGCGTTAGTGAATTAAAAAAAAGCAGTATAAAAACCGGAATGTCCAACTGATGAGGCTGAACATTTTTTCACTTGTTATTAATTTACAGTAAGATAAATACATTCATCAACTTTTATTAAAATAAAACCATTTAAACTGGGTGTTCGGATTTATATGTCACTTAGTATATTTGGTAGATACTGATACAGTTCCGTACCTCGGTTCAAGACTAAATGATAACTGGAACCGATTGGAACTATCAAATAAGATTTTATTAAACTTATTGTTTTGTAGACATTCACTATTTATACACCTATGAAATGTAGATGCTTGAAATATAACACTATTTGTCAACAGATTCTCTTTGCGTTCCGTTTGTAAGTGAGGCGAGACAGTTCCAACACGAGCATTATACGCCGCCTACTACTTATTCCACACCCCAGGATGCTATTTCCTGATAGCGGAACACATTGACCCCAAAATAATGTACACCTGTGCTTTTATGTGCTTCATACATTCGGCGTGTCAAACATTTCATGTGTATTTCCTATAAAATAGCCGAAAATATTCTAGTAAAGGTGTTATGTATTGTTCGGTGATATTTTTTTATAGACGTCGTGTCATATCGTGGATAAAAGTATTTTTATATGTTTTATGTATGTAGTGTCAACAGTTGTGCGGTAAAATATGGAGTTGCAAGTTTTATGATGTCGAAGCACGATAATAGCTTCAATTTGTCGCTGAACAACGTTGAAAATAATACAGATCTGATGGACTCAACAGCGGCCTAGAAAGTACGAAACTTTGTGTCGGTTCATTATATTTGTTTGTTCCAGAAACTGGGGAGCAGATTCGTTGAAATATGACAAGTTCATTCTGGCAATGCCTCGTTTCCGTTTTCACTTAAGCTTTTGACAGTCCATGTCACATTTTTGGTGAAAACAGTCGAAATATTGAGATGAGTTTTGGCACAAACAATTACCAAAGATCGCATTAACTCGAATAAAGTGGCTTAAAGATCTTAAAAATCATGTTTAATTAAACTTTAACTTGCACTCTAGTCCATTAAACTAAATTTCTAGATATACGTCAGAAGTACGCATTAAACTTATTAACTCACACATTTAAAAAAAAGTACATTTTCAAGCAATACCAAAAACTCACTAGAGTCTGAAAAGAATGACGTTTTAATTGTGGTATCAAAATCAATCTAAGGCCGCCTGGAATACGAGGGATGACTTTTATGTTTTGCATATGGAAAAAACAACACGGTAGGTAGTTTTAAATAACTTTATTGTAATGCGCTCTTACCAATTTTCGAAGCACTTATTCCACTCGTTTGCTGGCAGATCCAAAACAGCATTTTTAAATGCATCAACTGCTTCTTCTGGTGACTGGAACGTTTGACCACGCAGTCTGTTTTTAATTTTCGGGAAAGTAAAGAAATCATTAGGACTTAGATCGGGACTATATGGTCCAATAATTCCACGTTTTCTTCCGTTAAATACAGTCTTGTTTTTTGGGCTGTGTGTGAGCTTGCATTGTATAGGTGGAGGATGAGTC